TCATCATCATCATCATCATCATCATTCATCATCATCATCACCACTCTCATCATCATATCATCATCACCATCATCATCATCATCATCATCACCATCATCATCATCACCACCACCACTCTCATCATCATCATCATCATCACTTTCATCATCATCACCACCACCACCACTTTCATCATCATCATCATCATCATCATCATCACCATCATCACCACTTTCACCATCATCATCATCATCACCACTCTCATCATCATCATCACCACCACATCATCATCATCATCATCATCATATCACCACCACCACTTTCTGTTATCATCACCACCAACAACCACTTTCATCATCATCATCATCATATATCATCATCATCATCCTCTCTTCATCATCATCTCCACTATCATCATCATCATCATCATCACCACCACCATCATCATCATCATCATCACCATCATCATCATCATCATCATCATCATCACCACCACTCTCATCATCATCACCACCACCACTTTCATCATCATCATCATCATCATCATCATCATCCACCACTCTCATCTATCATCATCACACTTTCATCATCATCATCATCATCATCATCATCATCACCATCATCATCATCATCATCATCATCACCACTATTATCATCATCATCATCATCCATCATCATCATCATCATCATCATCATCATCCCCGGCAGCCGTAATAGCCAGGAAGAACTTTTAATTATCGGCTCGTAAAATGAACCAATACCTACGTCTCTTTGGGCTTCATTAACAAGCACAGGTAATGGTTAGGCCTGTATTAATTAACACAGGTGATACGTAACGAATATAATTAACACAGGTAATGATTAACCCAGATATAATTAACACGGTGATACTTTGAATATAATTAACACAGGTGATACTTGATATAATTAACACGATGATTAACCTAGATATAATTCAGAGTAATGATTAACCCAGATATAATTATCACAGGTGATACTTAACCCATATATAATTAACACAGGTGATACTTAACTGATATAATTAACACAGGTAATGAAACCTTACAGATATAATTAACACTGGTGATATAGCAGATATAATTAACACAGGTAATGATTAACAGATATAATTAACACAGGTAATGATTAACTTGGATATAATTAACACAGGTGATACTTAGCAGATATAATTAAACAGGTGATACTTAACCCAGATATAATTAACACAGGTAATGATTAACCAGATATAATTAACACAGGTGATACTTAACAGATATAATTAACGCAGGTAATGATTAACCCAGATATAATTAACACAGGTGATACTTAACCCAGATATAATTAACACAGGTGATACTTAACTTGAATATAATTAACACAGGTAATGATTAACCCAGATATAATTAACACGGGTAATGATTAACCCAGATATCAATTAACTCAGCAATAATTGACACAGGTAATTAGACCAGTAATGATTAACCCAGTAGTAATTAACGAGTTGAGACCGTTACCATGGAGACGACTCGAGCCATGCCTCCTGGACACACGGGGAGGATACGTGGGAAGGATACATGGGGAGGATACATGGGGAAGGATATACGGGGAGGATACATGGGAAGGATACATAAGGAGGATACATGGGGAAGGATACACGGGGAGGACACACAGGGAGGATACATGGGGAGGATACATGGGGAAGGATACACGGGGAGGACACACAGGGAGGATACATGGGGAGGATACATGGGGAGGACACACACGGAGGATACATGGGAGGACACACGGGGAGAATGATGGGGGGGATACACACGGAGGATGGGGACACACAGGGGGAGGATACATGGGAGGACACACAGGGATGCATGGGAGGACACACACGGGAGGATACATGGGAGGACACAGGGGAGGATACATGGGAGGACACACAGGAGGATACATGGGGAGGACACACGGGGGAATACATGGGGAGGACACACGGAGGATACATGGGAGACACACAGGGGAGGATACATGGGGAGGACACACAGGGAGGATACATGGGAGGACACACGGGGACTCTGAACAAGTATTTCTGTCCTTCATCCACCTCCACCACCCCACCCTCCATCATACACCCTCCCTCGACCCTCCACCTTCACTATCCACCTCCCACCTCTCTCTCTCACCCCCTACCCTTCACCCTCCACCCATCCTCCACCTCCACCCTCCACCATCACCCATCACCCTTC